TATCAAATAAAGAGGCTTTCAATGTCGATACTACCAAACAAACTCTAAACACAGGTTACGACAGTATTTCCCTTCAACCAGCACCCTGTAGCAAGAGTCTGATATCCTACCTATCTTGTCAACAGGTGCAGATGACATCAAGCTTTCATACACTGTGCAAGCACTAGTAAGAAGAAACGTTATTAGTGTTATATACCGGTATGTAGCCAACTTATGCAGAATTGACTCAACCTTTAAGATATAACAATATGTATGTGGGATATGAGTTACAATGTGCTATATGTGTGGATGTTTTATAATTTTTCCTTGAATGTGTCCATATTGGCGTTTAACCAAAGGGAACTGTTAATATACATTCATTCTTATAGTACAAAGTAATAACATTTGGCATTTTGTTTTGCAATAAGCTGATGCTAGCAGGAGCAGATATCAGGATTCAATGAGCCTTCAGTCTTCACAGATGATGATTACAAAAGTCGGACTCACTATAAATGTAAGACAGAGGTACAGATAAGCTGCGTATCTGCGTAAATTACGCAAATATTTATGTGAAAACTCAAATTCTATTAAGTCTATTGCGTACAAGTACGCTTGAATTTTTGTAAATACTCAATAAATGTCATCTTACATGCGTACACACAAAAATGTCAAATCTTAGCTTGCGTACCAGTGGATAGATAAAATAACTGAAGTATATTGAGAGGTTCTATTTCTGGACAACTTGACAACTTGCAGTCTTGCTTATCATTTCTCATATTACAGATCAAATATAAATAACAAACATTAACATTTAAACTTTACTATCTTTTCAAATTTAATGGAAAATGGCAAAATACCCACTTTAGTTTGAGTGAGGTGAGTACAATTTATTTGGTTACTGAAAGAAAAATTAGGATACCCAATTGAGATGAACACAAGTGAGTACATAACTCAATGACCCAAAAAGTTATCTGTAGCTCTGGTAAGATTGTAATTAGTAGGACCGTATGATATTACTGGTACATCACAAACATGCCCTTCAAACGATATGTATTGCAATGTATGGTGTGTTGTGATTATCTCTGTTATTTACGGTAAACTCCACAGGCTTTCATTCACACTGACATTCCCATTGTAATTAATAGACAAAACAGCATCCTTGACATACAATAAATTTTATAAAAATGAAAATACAATCCCTCAAAATCAAATATCAATTCATGATTTCTGATATCACAACCAAAACATTTATTTTTAAGGCTTTAGTATGTAGAAAATAGGCTTTGCATGCACAGTCAATGTCACTCACTGTCAAACACTGAAGCTCCCAATATATCGCAATACGTATCAGATTACAGGTACCAGAATCACAATACATTGCAATGCAATTTACTTGCAAATATGCAGCCTTAGTAATTAGATGATGCAGCATCATGCATACAGCTTTAATGTTTATACTCCCTTAAGATTGGACACTGAAAGTCAACAATAATTTGATGTTTATCAGCTGCAGTCAACAATATGATTAAAATCAATCACTTTTTTCCCAAACAGAACATGACTTGCGGATCACTTATCTACAAATATCATTGGCGCTTTGAAACTCTTTATGTCACTGACCATGTTAGTTGCCTCTTATTATACAATATTCCTTTTCATATTCTTTGAGAAATTAGTAATTGCAGTGCGTTGAGACTTCCTGGCACAGTTCCCTTTCATCTACTGACCGACAAAATGTGTTATTAACTTGACTATTCGAGTCATGACATGGAGTCAAGGTCCCCTTGGTTTTTAATCTCTGTTATGACTGTCCTTTGACGAGAGGATTTTGTACCTTTCAAAATATTTTTCATATATTTGTTATTGACATATAATTTCCTCTAATCACGGTATGACTGAAGTATTGCTGATGTGGCAATAAATTTTAACTAACTCACACACTCACTAATCTCTGTTATGAATACTACAGAGAATAAAAAGTCAGTTCGTAAATGCTCAGTTTGAACTTCAAAGCAACACAGGCAACTGGAAAGGTTTCATGCCAAATGCAATAGGAGTTAGTAAGTTGAGTTTTATGCCGCTTTTAGCAATATCACGAGGGGGGACACCAGAAATGGGCTTCACACACTGTACCCATGTGAGGAATCGAACCCCTAAATGCAATAGGAAAACAACACTAAAGAATCCAGTCTTGATAAATCAGATCATGTTCCATTCTAGAAGCACTGTAATTACATTATTCCCACCACTGAATTATTAGGACATATAGATGTTAATCAATATGCATCACGCCACGGGCATCTGCCACGTATCACAAGCTTATCACATGAAGTCATCTCCATGTCAAACACACCTGCTAACCAATTTGGATATATTCAGACTTTAACGAGACACAACATATTGTGACTTTTCTGGATAACAATCCAGCCTAAAGGCAAATCATATCCACCACTAGCACATTTGACTGCTAAGTATGGATGACGGAAAGATTAAAATCCAACTTATAATTTGATTTTTCTGATATTTCAGTTCTTATTAGAAATACCGTAAATGTCCGGACTTTGGGGCGCCGTGGGCGAGCTGGCTAAGGAGCCAGGCTTGTGATCCAGCGAGGTTCAGGTGTCGGGATCGAGCCCACCTGTGACCGGGTGTAAGAACCTTGGAGTCAACTTTGTTGTGTAGACCCTTTCAGTGTTGTCACAACCCCTAGTGTACTTTGCACAACCATGTGCACTTAAAAGAACCAACGCATCCGTTGGTATATGACCAGATGGTGGCCACATAAATACGTGCAAACACCTAGTTGCGGGTACAGCAACATGCTGTGAACTTGGACAAAGTACTGTGACTATGTGTCCTAGTCCACCCAGCTGTGAATGGGTACTTCGTTAGGATGAGAAAGCCACAATAACTCGGTGCGCCTAGTGGCTGCAAGAGTTGTATACTCCCCAGGGAGTTGAGATTGATAACATGTTGTGCCGTTGAGATTGGCATCCAATGATCGAGGCAAAAAATACCAGCGCCTTGAGCAAGCACTAGTTGCCTGGATATGTGCGCTATAGAAATATCGTATAATAATAATAACTTTCCACACCAAATTTTCCTTACTGTTATTAAATTTGACCAAAGCGAGAAAATATCTCTCTAAAAGAAGCATACTGCATCACACATACTTTTAATACCCATGACCAAAAAAATTTCATTATCGAGTCTGCAGGTTTCAGGAAATATATACTAGGTGTGAAACAATACTGGAAGGTCACAACATGGCATGTATCCACAAGGGCTTGAGTGAATACACTTGAAATAGGGTCATGAATATGTATATCTATTCATGATTACATCATCGAGTCAGCAGTTGCTGTATTATCTATTATTTTAGTGACACAATAACAAACAAATTATCTGACATAGTTTGATCATGTTGACATTGTTAATTCGTCAGGACAATGTCACAGCCCAATGTTTTGGTTGACAGGTCCTTGGCAGAGTGACGCAGGCTACTGCATGGCTTGTATTGCTTTCCATTTTGTATATCACATTTTGAATTTGAATAGTAGCGTTTGAGTATGTAAGAAACACTTTTTTATAAAGCTATTCGTGCATATTTGATTTTAATAATCACGATTAACTAACTGAATTCATGAAGGATAATAAATTCTATTTACCAAAGATGTGGGTAAAAAAACTAGTATCAATTATACATACATCACAATAACCATACATATCGCATTGTACATATCTACTTCAAATCGTGTGCAAATTATAAACTTTTTTACAGGTTCAAAAGGAAAATCTATCTGAAGGACCATATTCTTGGCATGTACTTTCAATAGTGGACTTGAAACGCAAACTACAACACATTTTTATACGCCAAAAATTCTGCGGGGTCATAGAAAGAGTAGCTTGTAATCTATCTTAGCAAGTGTATCACGTTGCAGTGATGCATAAAAAGAAATTGTGTATTGTATCATCACATGAAAACTGTGTGATCAGTGTATCATTTCACCCCTAACATACATCTTATTGAATCCCTTGATAAGGAAATATGTACATGTCTTCCTGATTTGTCGTTGCATAATGCTGACATACCAGTTTGCACCTACATAAAGAACATCTGGCATTTACACTGAAAAATCAATACAATAATGAGCGCAGCTTACTGAACAGCTGGTGCACATATGAAAAAAAGTAATATGAAGGAGAATTGAGTAAAAGATGATACGGCCATAAACACACATGTGTCCGTTTATTATTGATTTCTTTGTATGTGTGTGACCATGATGTCTAAGGTGTGGACCAAAACTTGTTAGCATAATGTGAAGTAAACTTAAGACCACAGTTCAGTTTCTGAATTAAGAATCAAAGACAATGACACCTTGTCATGAACTTAGTGTTGAAAACTAATGATAGATTATGGGGTCCTGTGTTTTCAATGCTGGAATATACCAAAAGAATTGAAGTAAAATAACAAGAATCACCCATAATTTCTAACCACAGAACAAATGTCCTAAAAATATGTTTACTGCTGTCAAAAGGTAAAAAGGTAGTTTTAATTTTAAAGGCTTACAAGTGAACCATAACTTGATCAAGTGGAATAGAAAACTAAGAATAGGTCCATGATCATGATAATGCCCACAGAATCATTTTTCTAAACATGATACCAGTGTTAATGCCATTCTTATGTTCACTTGCATCAGATGTAAATTTTGAACCAGTCAACGCAACTGCAAAGCCAGTATTTCACATCCTAACTTAGTCACTATAGTTTACACTGAATGGTTGTGCATGCACTGTGTACTGTGTCACAAAGCTGAAGGCTTTTTAAGGATTCCCGACTACTAATGTTTTGTTTTTTCTAACTGAAATAAAGTTAACACAATTACTACATGTAACGATTTATGTAGGTCTCCACTTATCTGATAATGTTTAAAACGCTCTAACTGAATTCCAATACTGAGGACTGGCAATTGATCCCTCAGCGAACCTTACTGAGAGATTAGTAATGAACCAAGACTTACCCCTTGTTCATCATCTGATCCCCCTTCTACAGCTTTGTCGTGGGGAGGGGGTGGGCCCTTCTTTTGAGCCACAGGTTTACTATCTGTCAAGCTAGCCATGAAGATCACAGCAGCAACTATTGCCACAGACCAATGCATGATTTGTTAATGCTGTAAAGAAGGTAAAAGGTAATCTTAGTAATGAAGGAATGTTTACCAACAGATTCTGGCATTAGAAACACATTGAAGTCATAAGTGTTTATATTCATATTATTATTAATAATCAAAACGCTTTGAGTAACGTCTGATATCGCACGAGAAAGCAGTTACATATTGTTTATGTCCATGAACACATGTAGAGTGTTTTCAAAAGTATTTACAACTTACAACATTCGACCAGATGTTTGTAAATCACTGGACTTGTCAAACCGGACCTTACTTGTCTTTCGTGAAATACTTATTAGTAACATACATACTTTTCTTCACTAGTAATAAGTAGGATATTATGGAATAAAATACAAATATCGATCGAGGAAAAGAAAAGGCCAGCAAACCTGAAGGGCTTACCTGTGTGTACCAGATGGTATCTTTTCTCAATAATTATCGCAAGACGCTCTGTCGGTCGGCACAGAAGCACCGGAAGTAGTACGTGGTCTGCACACAGGGATCGGAGTAAAAGTTTCCTATGATGTGATTGGTTGAATTGATAAGTACACGTAATCGTATTCACAAACTGAACGTCATATAGTGCCTCGGGTTAAATCGGTGACGAAAGATCAAATTCAGGATATAACCTCTGTCATTTCCATCAAAACAACAGAACGTCGTAGAAAGATTTGCATGGTGGAAAAACAATATGTATTACATCTACGAAATTATGTACATAACACCCATAACAGTTTTTGAATATACTTTCCGAGAAAATAATGTTAGTTTTTCCAGAGACAATATATCGGTGTATGGTTTCTGGATGTCCATTTTATTGGCGTGTATACTCAAAGGCGCGAAGTAATCAAGGAAACAGATTTACCTATTTGTTTAAGAGGTAATTAATACTGTATGCATGTTGAGAGCGCATGTATACATATCTCAGCTCATAATTTATACGCATTTTATTTGCAAACATAAGATCAAACTAGTTTTACACACACACACACACACGCACACACACACACACACATACACATTTTTTAGAGATACTTTATTGATTCACCAGCAGTGTCGCAACTGACGCATCTGCCTCCTCTCACAGCTGGCACAATGTATATCTCTCCTATTTAAAAAATCTAATGATTTACCAGTAATGCAGAAAGCTAGACTTGCCTATTATAATCTTATTGACCTTTGATTGAATCAAATACAGATATTCCGCAGTCACAGTGCAAGGCAGTAGACTCTCTGCGGTAATCAATACAAATGGGCAGTCCGAGGGCTGTATTACAGACTCCACTGGTTGGACATCCTTGTCAATCCTGTTCTACTCCTCCGGGCAGAAAACTACGGAACTGACGGCGTGTTTCTTCTTCGCCCCTGCTCATAAATATAGCTATCATGACCTCAGATGCAAACACACAAATACATACGTAGTTGGAGGGTAAAGGGTTAACTAGTTTATGTTGAGCAGAAGCACATTAACTCACACTCAAACGTACACGGGGCACTTGTATCTATAGACATTTAAATCCCCATTCTCGATGCCGGGAGGAAACTCCCTCTCTCTCTCTCTCTCTCTCTCTCTCTCTCTCTCTCTCTCTCTCTCTCTCTCTCTCTCTCTCTCTCTCTCTCTCTGATAATTAACCTACATACGATGGGCAAGCCTGCTCTGTGAGCACTAAGCACAGACACAAATCTCTAAGCACAGACACAAATACTTTGGTCTTGATGCTCAGCTGTATATTTTACATTCGCTTCGAAAGGTATTCAAATAATCAATATCTCAAAAAGGTCACGAATCTCCCCAAAATTACACAGCAAGCATCAGGCCAGTATTCAAATAAATGATTAAATAAAACCAACCGCCCTATTTAGTAAACATCATTCCCTCTTGAAACAGCCTATTTATGATTAAAGCATACAAAACATGCATGTCGTCAATTTCAAGAAAGGAAATATTTCATTCTCCAACTTCGATACTAAAAAGTACGATGAAATGTGTTATATGAATGATGGGTGTTCAGAAGATGATGGTAATCCATATATTTGGGGTTCAGGAGTAGCCAGCAACAACAGAGGACTCTGGTCTATATCAGTGCAGGGGCATCGAGTATTACCTATGCGGAGCGAAGAACTGGGTTCCTGTCTACAAAACAAAAATCAATGATTATCGCACACCACTCAGCGCCTGCCATCCGGAAAACTGAGTCATTAAAATAGGATATGGATCGACCGATTTTGGAATGCACATGTGTTGGAATTTGAAGTGCGTTTCTTCGTTTACAAATGTGTTATACGGATTTTGACGATTAATAGTTGTACAACACGTATGGAGTATATATAATACAGATCTATCATGGCAAATCGTTAAACCCACCATCACACACCGTGTAAATATTTGGAGGTCACAAATGTGAATGTGCTTAATTGATGTATGCTTTTCTTGGCGGTTTATCGACGATTCAGGGAACCTTCTAGAGACTACATGTATGAATTTCGTAAACAAAATTATATCTCAAAAACGTTTATATATCCTGAATTATATTTTGAGACACGAATGTTATATTATAAATGATGTTTGAATTTACAAATATAAGTCACCAGTGGATACGTGATTATCAAGAAAACCACATTGGTTGCAATTGGACAAAGGTTCTTTATCATACATCTGTGCTGTCGATTTCGCCGAGGCATTGAAAACTCCGTAAGATTCCGGTTAACTCCGTTAAAGTCCGTCAATAATCATATTTACGTCAACAGCGATTGCCTCCCTTTGCAAGATGGCTACAGACACTTCTGCAAACATCGTTATTTGAGTTCATTTGATTGGCCAGTTTGGGGGTCTTTGTTAGTCTGGTCCGGTCCGATTTGACAGAGCTTTGTGACAATAGGGTTGAGAAAGCGGACAGAGAGCGCCCTGAAGACAAATACCATTGGACGAACTTTGCAGGTGGCGGGCCCAGGTGCCAGGGTTTCAGGGTTGCTTTGTTCGCCATATGGTCGTTTGGTCCCACAACCCAATCTTCATCAGTTACCCCACATCGCAACCATTTTCCCACAAGTCTTGAATCCAGCCACTGACTGCTACTCGTAAATGAAATAAAGAATATGAACAGCGTTCAGAACACAACGATATTCAAATGTGTTAGTCTTCAAATAATTCATGCTCAACACTGGTATGTCAACTTTGTATGCTAATCGCATTTGTCACGAGAGATCCATTTGTTTTGTGTGTTGAACGAGTGGTTCATGTCATTGTATGACTAAACGACACTTTCTGCATACGTGTATGTTTATTCATAATTGCGTATTAGTACAAAATATATAAAAAGCACGTGACATTTCAAAACCCATGACACGCCGATTGACCCAGTGAAAGCAGAGACCATATATCGGTATATGGTCTCTGGTGAAAGTGAGGCGACCTGACGATAGTCTATATATAACCTCTTGTTTAAATCTGACAATCTCACTAATCCATTAGATACGAGTTAACGGTTGATAATCAAATGGTGATGTGCCCTATATACAATAAACTTCATAATTCGTATTAAGCTGGTACAGCGCGTTTAGGATTACCAAGAATGTCGAGGGCAATTTATTTTCAAAGCCCCATTATACACAAAAGACGAAGATGTCGCGCATCGGAAAGTTTTTGAAATCGGGTATGTCATTACGAATAAGAGATTATAAACTTACGACTGTGTGTGTGTGAATGGCAGAAACAAACACTGGCGTGCTGAAAGTGATATCGACACATGCGGGGTCCCACTGCACGTTTAACCATGTTTGTTTGACATTCTGACTGTGTCATATTTCAGACGCGGGCTTGTGCGTATGTCGCAGTTATAACAACTTTGCGACAGTTTGGCTTGAAAGCTGTTGCTTTTAAATTCAATACATAATTACGGCGAACCTATAGCAATTCGTGCACGGCGAGATGTAATTCTGAGACTCAAGTCTGCGGATCAGCACGCGGTCAGACCATGCTTGAGCCCTGTCACGATTTCAACACAAGACACGCCTTACGGGCTAGACTTGCCAGGGCTCCTTTTCGTGAGCGCAACGCAGACGGTCGCTGTTTGAATAGGAATACAAGGTTGCTTTGTGCTAGTATGAAACGAAACCAGTTTACAACGCTTTGATGTGCAGGTCAGACACATTGCGTATTTATTCCATATGTATTTGGCTGGTAGATGCGTTATTTCTTAAAAGAGCATTTTTATAAATTTTAATAAATTGGAAAGTATTAATAAGCGTCTGTGTCTTTCCACAATGCTTTATGCCAGGATGTATATGGACATCTTCATGGACATCTTCATGTGGAAATCAGTTTATAGCGCTTTGATGGACAGGACAGAAGCATTACGTATTTATTTCATATAGTTGGCTGGTTGATACGTTATTTCTTCTGAGAGCATATTCATACAATTTTATATATTGGAAAGTACTAATAATCGTCTGTATCTTTCCACAATTCTTTATCCCAAGAAGTATATAAACATTCTTATACAGTACACGGCTCACTGAAAAAAATAGGTGTTTAGAGTGTTAATGTTTTAAATATGACGTTTTTGCATTTTATACGCAACACTGCTTTTAAAAGGTGATACATTTGTTAAACAGCGTTAAGTGATTAGATTGTAAACACCAATACCGTTTAGAAACTAAACCATTGTTTAGCTGGTAAACAAGTGTTTATAACATAAACAGCGTTTAGATAATAAACACATAACGGTGTTTAAAAACGTAGGACAAACATGCGTTTAATATATAAACAGTCATTTTTACAATGTAGCTGTGACGATTGTTAGTTCCATTCTCTTACTGGTGTTTCAGAAAGAAAGTATTTACCAAATATATAACACATCTGTGTATTTTAAAAGTGTAACAATAGAAGTGCCGCTCCAGCAATCTCCCAAAGCACAATATGAACGTGTGTAAGTTAGCAGGTATATAGTAGGTAATTTCTAGGAAACTCGTAAACAAGGTTTTAAACTGCAACAGACAAGGTCTTCCCGGTCAGAACATTTGTGTTTGAGTGTATTTAATGCATTTTCTACGAATAATGACACCCGTGAAGGTTAGAATATTGGCCTTCAATAACCCATGCTTGTCGTAAGAGGCAACTAAGGGAATCTGATGGTCGGGCTCGCTGACTTGGTTGACACTTGTCATCGGTTCCCAATTGCGCAGATAGATGCTCATGCTGTTGATCACTGGATTGTCTGGTCCAGACTCGATTATTTACAGACCGCCGCCATTTTGCTGGAATATTACTGATTGCGGCGTAAAACTCAACTCACTCACTCACGAATAATGACAGCCGGGTGATTACAACGTGTGACGTCTCTCGTATAGTGTCCCGTTTTGCCTTGAAGGCCTGGATCCTCACCCTTTGGGCCTCGCGATCTATACTGGACAAAAATAGTTAGGGATATATGTAAATTTTGAAATTATGAATAATGATCTATTTATTCATTGACACACTGATAAAATATCAATCATAAAAATACCAAT